CCGATAAATATTTTGCGCAAAAACCTTTAGGACATATGTTATGAGTCGGTTTTTTAGATCGCACCCGACGTAGATATGGGTAAAAGGTTGAGTATAACAGAAACGCAAATTTGACTTGATGTCACATAAACACTGACATTACGCACTGCAGTGATGTTTCATTAATACGCGCGCGAATGCTTTGGCGAGCGTTCGTAGTTGAAACACGAATTTTTTTCAATCAAAGTACAAATGGTATTAACGTCCTGTGAGTACAAGTGTGCACTCAATGCAATACCGCCTTAGCGTGTTGCATATTTTTGTAGATACTGTTTAAAAAAGCTAAACTTAAATTACAACTAAAGCATCATTTTTTTTCATTGTTTTTGGTGGGAAACAGTAAAAGTACAGGAATCACTTCCTCACATCCATCTCCTTCACATATACATATTCAGTCGATCTCTATGCGCAGAATTTTGTTTGTGTAAGATCTGAGATGTATGTTTTTTAGTTTCTCACTGCCTTGAAAATTTTCTCGTCAGCATTTTCCACATTTATGCTTGTATTTGTGGGTATATTATCTTGCTTGGCATGGACGTGCGAGTTTATCTTTTTTTGCTTTCCGATATAAAGGACAACAAATCCTGAAGATATAACTACACTGCCAAGAGTATGTGTTATTATTGAAGTATTGCGGGGGAACAAGCGAATGCAATGGTCTTCTATCACACAACTGACATTTGATTCACGTTAAGGATCAGCTAGTCTAGTGTCCAATTTGCCTTAGGGAAGTTAGGCTCCGCACATGGTTAGCCAATCTGTTTACTTATTTTGTAGCACTCGAGAGAGTTCAAGCTTGTACTGATGGCGGATCACATGTTCCCCTGTCTCCCGGCGTCTCCAGTGTTGTCAGATCGAACGCTACGTTGTCAGTCTCATCACTTATCACAGACCTCATATACAGGGTGTCCAATAAGTACCACGACAAAACTTAAGGAGAAGGTAGGCTTTGGACAGACCTCCCAAATAACAAAAACTTACCTATATAAAAGTGTCACCGTTTTTGAGACATTGAATTTTTTCTTAAATTTAAAAAAACTAACTTTTCCATGTGCGGTCTTTAGCTGCATGTACAAATAAGGTTATACTTTGTTCATTTTTTCTATAAAATACTTCTAGATAGTATATATATACTAATTTTCATCAGAGGCAATATAACAGTCCGACGCTATATTGAGAAAGTATTGGAGCCTCATTTTATTCCATACCTAAACACCATCCAAAACCCAATTGTTCAGCAAGTCAATGCCAGGCCGCATATTGCCAGAGCATCGTTAGCCTTCACGGATCAACATCGCATCAACCGTTTACCTTGGCCACCACGATCGCCTGACCTATCTTCAATTGAACATGTCTGAGACACTATAGGTCGCAGGCTCTTGAATTTGCAACACCCTGCACGTACTTTGGCAGCTCTTACTTACGAAGTTGCAAAAGCTTGGAATGAGATACCCCAACAGGATATCGACCACCTTATCAGCACGATGCCCAGGCGTGTCAATGAGCGTATAAGAAATCGTGGATCCTCAACACATCATTGAACCAGCTTCTGCAGTCTGGTGAAAGCTGAAAATTTAATCATTTTACTAGTAAGGGACACTGAACATATATGCCAAAAATTATTAAAATCGGATAAACATACGTAGGTGTTCACCTTTTTCTGTCACTCAGTATATTTCTATAAATGAGTTATGCAAGATTGATAGTGAATCATTGTGGTCTTGTATTTAATGCGTATGAGAAAGATAGAAAGGGAAACACATAACATATGTTAAAGTTAGAGACCGAATGAAGCTTACTTAACACCACAGGTCTGAGGATGCTTCATTCGCGGTCTCGCTCTAATGTTTTTCGATCTCCATCTCACTCGTACACACTGTATACGGGACCTCAGTGTTTTTCTGCCGCTCCAAGATACAAAATGTCCAAATTCAATAAGATTGGAGACTAATATAATGAGGGAAAATGTGAGGTTTGAATTAATTGAGTTCAAGTGAATAGCTAGTTATAAGTTACCGCAGTTTGTTAACGCACAATTTTGTATGTACATACATTCTGCACAAAACTTGTGCAATATCTCCTGAGGAAACTGTATTAGGGTGAACAAAATTTTCATAATCCAAAAAAAATATTTGCGTACCATATTTGCCAAAAATGAGGGGTGTTTTTGTTGCACACTTTATGTGTACAATACCGTTGTTTATGTTAAGAAAAATATTGATTAATTCAAGCAGATAGGCAGAAACAACATACATCTAAACTTCAATTATTTGGAACTATCAGTGCATTCGATTGCTGTCAAATCAAGAGGACCGAATGTTATGCTTTTACAATGAGGAAATTTCGCATTTTTTAAAACAACAATGTATCATTACTGAAGAAGATCACCATTGCGGCCAAAATTAAAGATTAATTTCAAATATATTTGATTTTATTAGCAAGACAAACATGGGGGATTACCGACAAGAAAACCACAGAATTAGTTTCAGATGTTACAACAAGATTATTATTAAGTAATGTTTACTGTTTTGTTTTCATTTTTTTATTTTATGCCGCAGCAGCCCTATCCCGTAAGTCCGCCTGCGTCGAAGTAGAATATTGATCATTTGGTCATGTTTTGCGTTAGTGTGAAGGAGGTTGGTTTGAGGGAAAGATGCATTAAAAAAAGTAATGCTATAGCTACTTTTTCAATAGACCTTTTTAATTCACTATTTAATCCAAAAATAAATGTATATCAAATGAATAATCAGAATTATAATAAACAAGAGAAGTATCTCACAGCCTGTGGGGCAGATCCTAACATACCCTAACCCAATAGCTATTTATTCACACTATTACACTTGAAGTAAAATAAAACACCGAACAAGTCTTAATCAATAGAATAGTGCTAAGAAAATGAATCTCGAAATGCAGCAAATGTGACTTCGATCGGACCAGCGACTGACTGGTCTGCTACCCCTATACTACTTCGTAGACACATAGAAATAGATATTATTGTTATGTTATTATTATTGTTATCATTGTTACTTGTGTTGCTGACAAAATTAGATTATTATACCAAATATAAAGTTTATCATAACTTCATTTTAACAAAATGTCAGATAGACTGGCCACTTCTACATGGCCAGAGAATAACTGCACCGATCACTAATGTAAAAGCAACGACTCTGTCTCTTTTCTAATTATATTCTTTATGTTTGCTTTTCTAATTATGTTCTTTGTTTTATGTCTCTTACACAGCTGTTCGTTGGAAAGACTGGTTCACTAAATAACAGTTATTCATAAAAACTCGTAGCTAGCTGTCAACAGGGGAAATTACTTTCTAAGACTTTATGCTTCCAACTGATTCAGATTCGCCAAAGCTTAATTATAGACTTCAGCTGCAATCGCTAGCAATCAATACATTACCTAAGGGTAACAAGCAACTTTAAATGTTGCATTGCATCCATAATACCGGTATTATTAATTTCATCTTGTACTAAATTTGTCCGGTAGCAGTTTAATGTAACTGTTAATAATACTTAGATAGGATATTTTTATTTTCGACGAATATGGCCAAAACTGGGAAGGTTACTTCCTGAACAAATTTGATATTTTTTCTCTGATGATATTTTAAAAACGGGTTCCGCAAAAGCGTTTTGACTTTTGGCGACTATTACTATTATAATTATCTTAAAGACATGTTCACGGATACATTCTTATCTCGACGATAGCCTTCAAAAAATGTTCATTGAGTATCTTTGTGAGAATACACAACTGTTCAGTAGTTCATTAAAATTAGAGACCTTTATATATTGGCTTTAAGTTAAACTAGTGATTCTTTAAATTGGGTTTAATAAACCTTGAATTAAGTCAATAGTGATTTTAGTGATTTTAATTTAATTACTTAGGTCAATGGGTCTAGAATGACATCATTGTAAACAGCAGACATATATTTTGACGACACGCGTTAAAGAAAGTATTGCACCACAAGAAATGTTTAGTGATAGTATCAGTTTGCTCTACTTATTAGCTGGGGATAAAATATCACGTTCCCCCTAACTTTTAAAGTTATTATTTATTTGCCAGCGCGATACTTCATTAATAGTTCCTTCGAGCGTCAAATCCCACTTTTCAGCCTACAGACCCCTTTTATGCTCTAAGGCTCTATGTATAGATTTTACCTATGTTGTACACAACATGGCGGCTACTAGAACTGTCATTTAGTCGTTGCGAGGTGGCAACACAATTATCGACAACAAAAGTATGGTCGATCCATTTTGTTGTAGATAATGTTTTGTATATGTCTCCGCCGTGATAAGCGTTTGTGCCCTCGACGTTTTGCGCATTGGCCACTAATTTCACCCCGCAAGCCATGACTGTCCGCTTAACACCCTACATACATAAATAACTATTTTCTACCAGAACGAAAGAAAGACTTTCTGCACGCTGGCCGAAAAAATCTTATACCTATACACTTGCAGAAGGTGATACTTTTCCAAACGCGACGAGAGTTGCACCAACGATGCGTGATGGCACGTCATATAGCACCCAAAAGACATAATATCTCATTTTTGAAAATATTGGCAATTGCAATGCTTCCCCGCCAGGAGGCGTGGAAAATAAAAAGGCAGGATGGATGCAGGAGTATAGTTTGTGTTAAATTTATTAATATAACCACCATTTATATCATTCTTTTAAACATTATATTAACCTGAGAGAATAACCATATTTTGACCCTTAATACCCCAACACCTATTTCAATATTTGTGACAAAATTCGACCATTGGCAATTCGGCCTCCCTTGTCGGTGGCAGAACTGATTGCGATTCTCCGACTTTAAAGGGTTTTTCAAATGAAACGTCCAAAATGGAAATTATCGGAATAATTTTCTTGAACATACCTATTACGAGGGATGTCTTTAAGTTTTGCATATGGAAATAAAACAACACGGTAGGTAGTTTTAAATGACTTTATTGTTTTTAGAAGTATTCTCCACGAAGATTAATACACATCTGCATGCTCTCGAACCAATTTTCGAAGCACTTATTCCACTCGTTTGCTGGCAGATCCAAAACGGCATTTTTGAATGCGTCAACTGCTTCTTCTGGTGACCGGAACCTTTGACCACGCAGTCTGTTTTTAATTTTCGGGAAAGTAAAGAAATCGTGAGGACTTAGATCCTGACTATATGGAGGATGGTCCAATAATTCCACGTTTTCTTTCGTTAAATACTGCCTTGTTTTTTGGGCTGTGTGCGAGCCTGCATTGTCTTGGTGGAGGATTTTCCGAAGCTCGGTGATGACTTTTGGCAAACAAATGGTGGTATACCAATCCGCAGCAACAGTTCTTTGCTCATTAAGAGGAATTGTTGCAATATGACCCGCTTTTGACACAAATGTCGCGACCATCTTTTTCGAAACACTTCGAGAACGGATGACTTTTGTTGGCCTTTCTTCACCTTGGAGCACCCAAACAGCCGAGTTTCGTTTATTTTCTGGTTCATAACAGTAAATCCACGATTCATCACCACTAATAATACTGTACACATTTTTTGAGTTTCCGGAAACGGTCAAGCGTTTTTTGACACCAATTAACCCTGGCTGCTTTCTGCTCTTCAGTCAACAGGTGGGGTATCCAACGAGAAACTAATTTTCTTACTCCTAATTCTTCATGTAAATTTTTTTGAATTGTGGTCTCAATCTCGCGATATGTCACATGTCTATCTTCAATGATGAGTTTGCGCACAGCATCGACGTTTTCCTGGGTGACTGCCATTTTTGGTGCACCCACCCTGGGATCGTCGCTAAGACTCACCCGTCCACGTTTGAATTCGCCATACCAACGGAAAATTGTCGACTGATGTGGCGCTTCGTTGCCGAAAACAGACAGTAACTCAGCCAGGCATTCTTGTTGCGATAATTGTCTCTGAAAGTTGTAATAAATTATGGCGAGAAAATTTTCTCGATTGAATTCCATTTTTCTAATGACTTGGTGACACTTAAAAATTCACTGTAGTGAGAACACTGCACGTATTGTTGTGAAACTTTGAAGTTAAGTTTGCTAAAGAGTGAGGTTAAGATTTAGTACTGACGTTCGATCCGCGCGGCATACTATGTTTCTATATGCAAAACTTAAAAGACATCCCTCGTATGAAGGCAGCATTGAATAAAGCGTAGTACAACCTGTTTGATCCAGCTTTACATTTCATAATAGAAGCTACTCAAAAGTCTACTTTCCAATAAAATAATGAAAAATTGGATCTAATAGAGAACCTAGCGTATTTCGTGCAACCCGATCTAGCCTTTCATTAATCCCAATCTGAAAAAAGTGAACTGCAAAACGGTGCAACGGCGTTCTACGGTTGATGAACGGAAAACGCGCGGCGAAGAGCGGCTAATAGATAATTTCACTTCTAATTTCGAGCTGGCCATGGGAAAAATCCTGAACCGCACTTTTTGCCTTTTTTCCTTTGGTTATCATTCTGCTGGGATGAAGATGGCACGTCCGAATGAACCTGTATTTGATGAGTTTTTATTTTGGCCGAATGTGGTTGAAACATGATTGCAGTATCAATTCAATGAAGGAAATGAAATGTTCGGTGCTAAGCCGATTGGTACAAAATGAAACAGGGCATATCTGATTAATACGATTATAGAATGAAAAAAGATCTTGTACATATGTTAATCAATTTTTTTAGAAAGCTAACAAATAACATCTCAAACCACGAAGACGTACTTGGGTGTTCATTGTTTTCCTTTTACATATTCTGTATTCTTAAACATGACCTTCCAGGAAATGATTACCTCTCCACCTTAAGACAATGGGCCCTGCATAAGTGGCTCGCCACGCAGCAATACGTATGGTTATTTTGACGCATGCGCGACTTTTAATTGGATTGGACGCCTTGCGGTGGAATTGTTAATCAATGGCCAAAGCCAAATTAAAATTTTAGTGTCTTGGAAATCTTAAAACGTAGATCTCATGTTTACGCTATTCCCGAAATTGACCATTCGTAGATTGGTACCTTACTGAAACATAATGCGAGAGAACGTTCAACGGTCTGAATATGGAACTGTGAGAATTGTATACTCTGTATGGGTGTTTTGACGATATGTTTGCGCATTCAGATACCCCGTACACACAGTAAAATGATCTTTTGGGTAAATAGTGCGAATTCGCTTCAAATAAGGGCCTTGATTCCAAATCACTTGGCTGCAATAATTTTATTGTTATAAATAAATTGCACTTTCTACGCATTGATATGAATATAACATTCTAACAACGTGAACATTTTTGAACGTAATTTCAATGTTTGATCCCCCTGATAAATTTTTAGACCACGTCCCGAAGTGAACAGAAAGTAAAGATTGAAAGATGTCGTAAGATTAAGTTTAAATATCCAAGCAGTATTGCGAATGGTAATAAATAACATGTGTTTTGTGATGTTCATAGAGGTCATTTAAATAATACGTAAACAGAATTTTCGTAATATTTAACCCCTCTCTCTTGTCAGCGAAGGTAAACAAAGCTATCTCTTCCATATGCTTACGTAAACTTTGGTACTTAGAAGGTTTGTTCGTACAGTGGTTGGTGACTTGTCGCTAACTGTGTCCTGGATCCGACCGCATGAATCCCGTCTATATAGCATAGCAGAATGAACAGAATTTGTGTGGCGGGATCTTGGACACGTTCACTGATAGGTTGGCAGCTGCTGTACCAACAGGGTTATTATGTAACCTATTTAAGCTTCTTTATTTCTGTTCATGCGAATTTCATTTTTATTTAAGAAAAATTTAACATACCGGTAATATGTTTTTCTTTTCAAGAGTTCAAGTTGAAATTAATTTTCCTCAGTCCATAATACTTGAAGCCATGACTCCAAATTTTCGATTAGTTTGGACGGTTGTTGTTTGATGGTATGTGTTTGCCTTGTATTATTTTAGTATCTTCAGTTTTGGTATCCAACTACAGTATGATATCGCAAAGATATGAAGAAGTGAATATAGCGCGCTATGTTCTGGGCAATTTCGCTATAAAACACTCCATAATAGCAAGTAAGTAATATCAATTGCTTTGCCATATTTCTTCAAGCTGAAACCGGCTACATTTTTCAAAAAGGACAGAAATAGGTACTAAATAAATATTGCTTACTTATCATCCAGGACCCTCAACCCACCTCATCAGAAATAACCAAAGCAAAGATACTCCCTACCCTATTGGTGCTTACGTAACATTTGAATGACCTCATATCATGTCATATTTGACAAACACGGAAAGCCAATTTTTTTTGTAAATATTTTGCGCTGTAACTAAATAACCTAGGCACTCCATTCAGAATACCCTTATAGTAATAGTTCTATGTCTTGGCGTGATACAAGAAATGCAATTACTTATACTAGATCTATTTTTATATTTGTTCAACCACGTAGGACTAAGGCCTAACTATTGATAGGTGCAGTGGAGCTATAGGGACATACAGGGTAAAAGGTGACATCACACGAACTCTAGATTTTGGCACTAGCTTAGAAACGGGATTCGAACCCGCGGAGCTCTCGGCGACTAGGTTAGTAGACGCACAGCGTTAACTGTTACGACACCTTAATTCAAAAACACTCTTTTGAGTAAGCTGATTGGTTTAAATTATTTCTCAGAAAGAAGAAAATGTATTAGTGTTAGTTTTGCCATTTTTTACAGAAGTTTATTTAACCGCTGTTTAAATCGATTACAAAACAATCAATGATCCATCATTCATTACAAGCTTGTGATTCCGTTTTCGTGGATATTGTAGGTGTAAATGGCAGCAAGCTATCTGATTCTGTAGCATTTTACGACTTGGCAGCATTCTAGAAGAAAACCAGACTGTATTTTCGGTACAACGGCGTCTAAACAACAATTAAATAGACTCATTCACCTGACAGAAACATTGTGGTTTTAACGTTTCAGCTGATGTGGATTTACTTAAGTTTAACTTTCTCAAAACAAACAGAAGTCAGTAAGAATTTGTGAGTTTATTGATACAATGACACATAATAAAATGTTTACAGCCTCATAATATGTGAGCAAAATTGTCTAGCTCCCGTAATGTTTATTTTTGTGCTTCACGTTGAAACGGTCCTAATTATACACAAAGAATGTATCACTATATTTTATAAGGCTGTATCGAAGGATTAGTAGATCGTAGAATGCATGCTAACAATAAATGGAGCTTTTATAATAATTATAATGCATAAAAAATATTAACAAAAGAGTTATTATTTCGTCTTCTTCTTCAACCCACTTAGATTTTTAATGGGTTAGGAATAGTATGTACGTATCGTGAAGAAACACCAAAAAATGTGTCCGATAACGTGTGCTAATAAAAAACGGCTGCATGTGGCCTTTTGAATTTTTTCCAGAGGTAGCGCAAGAAAATGTCAGACGACCAGTATTTACTGGATCTCTAGGTAATCTTATACATTCTTAATTACTGACATCTAGGCTACACGTTCGATCTTATTTCATGATACATACTGTCAGATCACCGATCGCCTTAGAAAAGAACCTGCAGACCAGGCATCTTGCTGCATTCAATTCGATACTATAAAAGATGGACCTGGTTGCAAATAGTAAAGGATACATACTCTCCAAATAACGCTCTTGCGAGATGGTGTTGCTCCCCAAATGTACTACGTACAATATTTCATATCAAACTTCACTATAGTCAGTATTGTCTGTTCAAATTAAAGCGGATTGTCATTTTTTCATACACATGGCTCGAATGTTAAAAAAAATACTCGAGGGACCAACAAAAAAGTATCTCATCTACAAATTCAAAAAATGCTTCTTTAAAAGGCATAGGCGAAAAAAATATTTTCATTTACCTTCTGTAAGATCAAATTTCTATTCAATCCAAAACGGACAAAGAATTATTGTTAATGAATATTTTCCTGTGCGCACTGTGCGTGCTGGGGCTCATCGTTCTCTAGAATTCAAAATGAAAAGGGGCTGCACTACCCACAGAGATGTTACTTGAGTTTGTTGTTTTAGGTTTTTTCAGCTATTGCGCCCCCGTCGATAATTCTGATAGCGCGTTTGTCTTGAGCAAAACTTATTTAAACTTCATCCAACAACCATAATCCAAAAATGTAGTCAAGTGGCCATATGACCTAAAATCTACCAAAATTATTGTATGTGAGATATAGAGTCAACCTACTTGGAACAGATTTCTCGCAGATTCGATATAATTTCCATGATTTTTATTTTTGTTTACAATAATATACTAAGTGACATATAAATCCGAACACCCAGTTTAAATGGTTTTATTTTAATAAAAGTTGGTGAATGTATTTATCTTACTGTAAATAACAAGTGAAAAAATTTTCAGCCCTATCAGTTGGACATTCCGGTTTTTATACTGCTTTTTTTTAATTCACTAACGCTCTAAAAATGAATATTTCAGCCGCATTAAAGAATCAACGTTGGCGGATTTTGGTTCTTGACATCCTTTACGATCGGTTACGATGCCTAGAGTACGGAGACCTGTACGATTTCGTCAACTTAGTGAGTTTGATAGGGGCCGTATAGTGGGACTTCGGGCAATTGCAGTTAGAGGGCAAAGAAGTGTAGACACTGTGGTTAGGTGTCGAGAAGGCCGTACGCAAAGAGCAAGGGGCACTGGACGCCGCCGTAGAACAACAGACCGTGAAGATCGCCGCCTAAGATTATTGGCCTTAAGGGACCGTTTCTCTACTACCAGGTCCATTGCAAATGAATGGTTTGTAGAAAACGGAAGACCTATTGGCATGCGAAGTGTTTACTGACGAATAAGAAGTTTTGGCTTGTTTTCATACCGGCCACACTGGGTCCTCCCTTTAACTCGAGAACACCGACGTAATCGCCTTGAGTGGTGCAGACAACGGTCACTCTGGGATCAGGAATGGAACAGTTTGTCTTTAGTGACGAGTCTCGATTTTGTTTAGGCATGCACGGTGGTCGTG